GAGTTGACATTTCACTTAGAAATAATTACATAAAATGGAATATATATTTTATTACATAAAATTATTTTTCATGAAATGAAAACTCAAGTTTTATATAATGAGACCTCAAAACTTGTCATAAAGTACAAAACTGTATGAAATGACAGAGTTGTACAGCATAATTTTGAGCTGTGAAGAATTAACTTGTTTACATGAATCTTATTACTCAAATTAGTGAACATCACTCTAATATAGTCAGTTATCTGGTGACAAAATTTTATTTTAAAAATATGTAAAATATTTGTTGCATTTGAAGAGATCTAGTTAGGCACATTGTTAATAATGCATTAAATGTTTTTCTAAGAAAGGATTGTGAGATGGGACAGAATAACATGTAAAAGGTCCCTATCACTAAAACATATTTAAAAGACATTGCCTGATTGTTTCTCCAATCTGAAATGTGTAGCTTTACCTGTATATCCATTTGGTGACTAATGAGAAGTTACTTTCTGATCCACAGGCTGTGTCTTGATAGCTTATACTGGGATATCAAAATTGGATAGGGATCTCTCTGGGATCACCTTTTTGAGAACATTAATCTAAGTTATAAGGACTCATTGCATTCTGTAGGAGTCAAAATGACAAAACTTTGTTAATCTGTCCAATTTATATATTATAAATCATATATACCAATGTATGTACTATATCAGCTTCCAGTTTGATAGTTCCTCAAAACATGGCTTTGGTCACTATAGATACCCTATGTAAACAATGAGACCATCAAAACCCAAATGTTGAACAATTTTCTGTTTGAATGAAGAAAGCATTTATAGAAAGTCTTAGATCTCACTGGTATCCATTACATAGTACTTGTTCTACCTTTGTAGTAAAAGAAAGAATTGCACAAACACAAGTTTAAATCACTATTGCTAATCAACACCCTTGATATCTAGCCAAATTTAGGAATATGTCTTCCCTTTCTTACCTGTTCATATTCTTTGTAATCATCTAGCTTATGAGCTTTCTAGAGCAATATAGTCTCTGTAGTGTGCCTTCACACAGCACTCAATGTCTTTCGCTATGTAAGTGTCAACATCTCAATGCTTCTAGAACTCTGACACCACAATCACTAATCTCCTCTAACATTCTCCATTCCCTAACTTAAAGTGAAACTTCAGTTCCCTGAAAGATATCACTTTCATACAACTCTCTGAAATCAGTTTTTGTTGTTATTTTAAGATTTTAATTTAGTTTTATGTGTTGTATTGTTTTGACTTCATGTATGTCTGTTAACCATTTGTACACTTGGTTCCCTTGGAGGCTAGAAGAAGGGGTCAGATCTCTTAGAACTCAAGTTGCAGATGGTTGTAAGCCACCATGTGCATCCTGGGAATTGAACCTGAGTCATCTAGAATAGCAGTAGTCTATGCTCTTAACCTTTGATCCATCTCTCCAGTCCGTGATTTTAAAAGTATTTATAATTCATGTTAGCTAGCTTAGATGGAGCTGCCATAACAATCATAGAGTGGTGGTTTATAAATAGCAAATATCTGAAGCTGTAAATGCAAATTTAGGTGCCTTCACAGTTGGTGTCTGATGGGAAGCCATTTTCAGAATTATATACAGTGCCATATCAGTATGTCTTAGAATAGCATATGAAAAGAATCTTTCTGGGGTCTCTTTATAAAAGACACTAATCTAGTTTATGTTCACTACTTCTTTGTCTCCCCATCAACTTGTTGGTGAAGATTTCAACATCTAGGAGTATAATGCTCAATTTTTATTGCAAAAATGACAAGAATGTAGGATCACTTAAAGAGTTAAGTCTATGGACATATAGAAGGGATTATCTTTAATAGTTTAGTCTGCTGGAAGTTCTATTAGCTCTTATGTAAGTTAGGTTTAGTGAGATGAGAAGATCTACCCTTAATGTGGGAAGCAGTATTGCATTGAGTGGGGTCTATACTGCATAAAAGGGAGAAATATAACAAAGCACAGAATTTATTGATGTCTTCTTCCTTAGTATGGATGAAATGTGATGAGCAGCCTCACATTCCTGCTACCATTGAAGTTCACCATGATGGACTATACAACTGAGAGGCCAAATAAGCATTTGTTACCTTAAGTGCCTTATTGTCATAGCAATAGGAAAAACACCTAAGTCCAAGTGTGAGAAAAGTACTCAGACCACAGACTTCCACCCATACATATCCAAATTCATGTCATTTATGTGAAAACTACATCAATTACAACACCCCCATCTTAACATTTTGTATTATG